TGCTATTTTAACTTTTGTCTACAAATCCCATACATCTGGGTTCTTGCATAACCCACTGCAGAACAAAAGGTTCACTCTAGAAAACAGTATTCTATACAGAATATTAAATCCTAAAATGTGAATCATCTGTGTCCATAGCACATTGCCCCATTGAAAATTGTTAGTCCTCACCAATAATTCTTGCACAACTCGTTGCAGAACAAAAGGTTCACTCTAGAAAAGTGGTTTGGCATGAAAACAGTATTCTATACAGAATATTAAATCCTAAAATGTGAATTATCGGTGTCCATAGGACATTGCCCCTTTGAAAATTTGAGTCCTCCCCCACCTCATGTAGTACCAAATATCACCAATAATTTTTTTTCCATTATAACTCAGCAGAATAATTATAATGCTGCAAAAATGACAAAAGTTGCATTTCCTAATAAAAGATTGTAATCCTCCCCATACCACACGCTACATTACACATGCACATTTCCTTGCGAACAGAATTCTGGGGAGAACACTGCATATTACGGATACATGATTTGAGAACTGAACGCTTACCTTTGCATATGATCAGGTTTTAATGCTGATCCATCATACACTACCACATAGTGAGTTGGTGACACAGTACCCTGGCGTACATGCTGACTCACCAGGAAATAATCATACCAATCTAATCTGGTAACAGAGTGGTCCAACACCAAGCCAGGATTAGGATTTTCTAACTGTCCACGCTGAAAGTATGGGAAGAAAAAATAATACAGATGAAGGAATAAATGAATACAACAAGGTTACCCTAGTAACGCATCACTGGCCGACACTTATGTTTAATATTGACTTTGGTATGTTCAGGTGGCTGGTCTCAAAAACAGATATGCACATCAGTGGGCTCTCATCAGGACTGATGAAATCCCTTAAAATCAAGTCAGCTGGTTGACTGATGGGAAGGTCAGACTCCATGCAAAAAATATAATTTATGTATATAGGCTATATACATATATATTGAGGCACAAAAGAATCACAAAGAAAGCTTAGAAAGAACTCCCATGTGCTGAGAGAGTATTGGAGACACATTAATTAATTCAAAATTACTTGTTCATGATTGAGATAGTGATGGAAAAGCTGAAAACTAATAATGAGGTCTGCACAATGTATCAGCCAATTTATGTACCAAGTTTTATTGAAATGTGATTGGAACCAAAAACAAGCAGCCTCTCGGCTTTTACCAAAAATGACAAAAATATTCACCAAAATTAGAGAATTAAAGATATCATTACAAAATGAACAAGACATGACATGTCATGTCATAGCCCCCGCTCAGAAAAAAATTTAAAAACTTATATTGAACTTAGTTTGTGTCAGAGTGAATTAATTCATTATGAGCTGTATTAAAATTCTGTTATTAAATGTTCAGAATTGATGTGTTACAATTTTAGGGGGTGGGGTAAAAATTTATTCATTTGGCTTTTCTGAGACAATTTATAACTTGTTAAACATAGAATGCGATGTGCACTTGTAAACAATTATTACCTGTCCCTGTACCAACTTTGAACAAAACTGGATAACATATCTGAGAAAAAGCTGTTAACAGCTAGAAAAAGCTTGTTTTTTTTAGATTTCTGAGGGAAAAAATGGCCTCCAAGTCGTAAAACTTTATCCAATCAAACAGGGCATGAATGACACTGAAAGTTGCAACATATAATTTGTCCAGTT